TATCTGGTTGATTATAATCAATAAAGCAACAAAGAAACATGACGAAAAATACTACTTACAAAATTCTTTAGCCATGCGTGTGCCACTTTGTAAGATCATCATTGTGTTTGTGTTCTTCCTCTTCATGGTTGATCATGTTAAGCTCCTCAAGTGTTAAGCCTCTAGGAGTATACACATTGATACACCATTGACGAATGATGGAGTGAGAGATTCAATTGTACTAGCAGAATCACTCACTTGGAACAATTAGGTTGGGCGGTAAACTATAGGGACTTTTCGGCTGGGGTTCCTTTTCTCTTTTCTATGAGGGAAAAATCTTTGCATCGGGGCTTATGAGAGAACACATGAGACTTGTACTTGCCGCACCCTATTAGGGTTTTGACGCCAAAGGCCTTTCCTTGCGTCAGGCACATTTTCATTTGGTCACTTGGGCTTATGACTTTGACCCTTAGCTTTACTTTTAATTAAAATATTGTCCAATAGGCCCAAAAAATTAATACAATATAATTAACAATTAATTATATCTTATCATTATACATGTAACGTCATTAGTACTATCAAAGGCATGTGACCTCTTAGATTCTAACTGAAGCTGGCATTGAAATAAATAAATAACAAGCCATAAGTGGCACCTAACAACATGTCATGGGTAACCGGATCAGATAGAAGTATTCCTGATATAATCATGACACATTTCGAACCTTGATTATAGTTACAATCCAATTCGGTTCTTCCATCATCCATATCCCGATCAAGATTTATGTGAGGATTCACGTTAAATCATATATGGATATCTATAATCACTTTGATGCATCTCATGTTGAAACAGTTCTTGCAAATATAGCTTGATCAACAAGTGCTTCGATCGAAAATTTCTGATATGGATATTCAAGTGGCTTCGAGGGATATCTCCTTCTATTGAACAACAACCAGAAGGTAATAGATTCATTATTTCGCATTCATGCATCTCATAGTCATACATATGAACTCAAGTATCACACTATCGGCCCCTACGAAGTAGTGACGGCTTTAAGGTGAAATCAAAATTCATAACTATAAGCACAAGATACTAATGATACCTCAGATCTGAGAACTATTTGCATTATATAGCCTGAAGTTTTGTAACGTTTGACATGTGGTAAGCATCCATACATTTATGCTTCTTGGGTAGTTAGTATTCAATGAACTTGTTCAACAGACAAGCACCTATATATCCACCAAGTGTCCAACATGCGTATCACGATATCATGCTAACCTTAATGTGATGTACACCGACCTTTTAGGATAGTCAACGGCCAGTTAACTCTCCAAATGGCTAGTAACTTTGTTTAAGGATTAAGAGACAATGGAATACAAGTCTTTTTGCCCTAACCGTCGTTTAGAACATTGCTTCCATATCTTAAACCCTATAGACTCATTCATAGTATATTGTCACCACAATATAAACCTAAAATCATGAACGAATAAAACTTACTCTATGATTAATTAATTAATTAATATGAAGTTGTTATATAATATCTAATATTGAGAAATTGGATTGTAAGGCACAACTCTCCAACACCTCACACCCTGAAAAGTAGGACTAATCCCCAGTGTGATTGAAAAGGCTAAAGGATTTCAACTCACTTTGGCCACAATAAAAAAATTATTTTCTTTGCTAATTGGTTTTCAAGTTTGACATAATAATTCTTGAGAAATTAAAATTATTATTCAATACAATAAGATAAAACCAATTTTTAAAATTAACCTTCTGATTTTATTGAACGGCTCTTAAGCAACCCCACAAAGTATCAAAAAAAAAACAGAAGGAAAACTAATGAAAATGATATGAAAACTTTGAGTTTTAACGATAAGAACAAAATAAAGGGCAAAGTGAATAGTACTATGATTGACTTTTTAGTGTAAAAATATGATTTTTCATTAGAATAAACAGTATCAGGAATTTTTCGTTAAAGTTCCTAAAATAAATTTAGAACATTGATGCTCAGATTTTGACTCAATTGAAGCTTTTTGGTCCGAAACCAGACCAGATGCTGGCCGAAGAAAATAAGTTTTGGGCCAAATAAAAGAGTAAATTTAGCGCGAGGGAAGCCCATTGCCTAAGTTTGTCGGTTTATTAAAAGCTGCCTTGCGGGGCTACACCTTTATATATACACAGCTCCTCACAACTCAGGCGCTTCTCCGATCGTTATATACACTTGACAGATTGATTTTCTAGGGTTTAAGCATCCCTCCCCCGATCGCATCGAAGTAATAAGAGGCTTTCTTCTCCGCAATCAAACAATGGTATCGTATCTTCAATTTCTCTCTCTCCTTCTCTTTCGCTTCGATTGTGTATAAATTCATGGATTCATCTACTCACATGGGTTTCCTTCAATTTTCTGGTTTTCTTTTGTTTGGATTCATCTACTCAAACAATTTGTTGTATGCTAATTGGGTTTTTTGTTGGTTCCTTCGTTTTAAATTAAATATTAATAAACTTGTTGATCCTAATCGAGTCAACGAACCCCATATGCAGAAACCATGATTTGTTTGTGAAATCTGTAAGAAGTGTATAATCTGATGGTGATGATTGTGCATTCCCTGCCTGCTGTTTTGTTTGGTTGATTCATTTTTTGTGTGGTTATGTCTTGTATTTTGACTGAAGAGATTATTCGGGATACGGTTTCTTTGTTCTTTGTTGTAGGTTCTTTTACAGCCGGATCCGTTTCTTAACGAACTTACTAGCATGTTCGAGAAAAGCACCGAGAAAGGTTCCGTTTGGGTTACCTTTAAACGATGTATGTGCACAAGTTTCCTTTTCTTTTTAGCGGGATTTGTGGATATTTGGGTTGTTTTATTGCAATGTGTTAAGTATTTTTCAATCTTGTGTGTATTCAGCATCCATGAAGTCTAAGGTGCAGAGGAATAAAATGAAAACTGCCGGTGAAGAAATTGATTACCGATGCCTTATTCGTGCAACACTTGGGAATAAGACAATTTCTACTTCGGTATGTATTTTTGCCCCTTGGTCGTACGTTTTCCACGTATTTCATGAAACATGAACCACAATTTGATTTAAAACCGAGACGAATTGCCTTTAGATTCCCATTGCGTGTGTGTGTGTGTCTAAGCCCTTGGGGGGTTTTAGTTTTGTTTTATTACCATAGTAAAACGTCCTATATTTATTTTTTCACAGCACGAAGCCTTAAACACACAAGTCCTCTGAAAATCAGTGTAATAGGTTCTTCGGCATCGGCAGGGAAATTATTTTTAGTAGCTAATGGTGGAAACGACTGTGAGCTATATGTTCTGAATTGTGAAGCATTTTCCGTGTGCTTGTTTTCCAGTAAAGCATTTTGATGCATCATTGTTGTCTTGCTGATTTTGCTTATTTTCCAGTAAAGCAATAGTTGAGTCCTGATGCTAAGAGTAAAACAAATGGTAAAAGCCATTCTAAACATGCAACACCATACCAATAGTGGTATAATTTTTTGTTAATTGCCTTAAGTGTCGGCTGTTAATTGCCTCCTTAAAGTGTTAATTACTCTTCCTACTACACAGAAAGCTGGGTCCTTAAAGTGCTAATTGGGTTATATATCCTTAACGCATTGACCGTTAATTGCTGTATTTTTGTAGTTATAAGCTGGGTTCTACTTAATTTGGTGAGAAGCATGATTTTGCTAAAATTAATCAAACATACAATCGTACGAAACTAAACACACATGCTAACTAAAGCATAAATTCAGAAGATGATAGTTCTTGATTTTGGGTTTATATGTTATTGTAATTGGCTAACGTTTTTTAATTGGAATTGGGAAGGTTGGTCCGAAGGAAAAAATTAATAAAACATACAATCGTACGAAACTAAACACACATGCTTACTAAAGCATAAATTCAGAAGACGATAGTTCTTGATTTTGGGTTTATATGTTATTGTAATTGGCTAACGTTTTTTAATTGGAATTGGGAAGGTTGGCCCGAAGGAACACCAGCGCTTCCAATCTTCATATGCAACTGTGCTAAAGGCTCACATGACAGCTTTAAAGAAGCGGGAGAGGAAGGAAAAGAAGAAGGCTGCAGAATCAGATAAGAAAGGTGGTGTAAAGAAACCCAAGAGAGTGTGAAGGAGTCCTTTTCTGTACAGCCCCGTGCGAAACTGGAATTAATTTTTTGCTTATGTTTCGATTTCAACTTTTTTTCGAGGATATAGAATCGGAAAAAAAGGAAAAAGAAAATTTCCCAATTTTTTGTGCTTATAGGAATTGAGCGCAAACTGTAATCTGCTGGATATGGTTCTCATGATTTTGGATGAATCAGAAGGAAGATTTTCGCAGATATATGATCTTTTGTTTTAATCTTGTTGGATGGTAGAGCAGATTGTGGCATGAAATTTCTACAATTTAGCCAAAAAATACACACATGATGGTTATAGCAGCTTATTTCAGGTTTTTGGTTTTTAATTTTCATTTTGTGCTACTTTTTTTAAACGTGTCTTCTTCGTATCTCTTATCCATCCCAGTGTGTTTGGAAGTGTTTAAAAATATGAAAAGCGCTTTTGATGGAAGTGCTTTTGGTAGCAGCTGAATCAGTGGACCACAATGTGGGGTTGCAGAGCTCGTCATTCATGGACGAGAGAATCTGGAAGGCGTCCTCTTCCCTTCTTTCGGACTCTGGTCGGTGACAAATGATTCAGAACAATGTTGTTACTTCAAACAAAATAGACAGCGAAATTTCATCTTCTTATTTCCTTACCGGCACCCAAACAGCAATGCGAGTTCAAATGGGAAGTCGTGGTGTTCATGAAGGAAACAGCTTTTTTCGTGTCGGTGATTTAAGAATGCAAGTTTTTGCGCTGAAATTGAAACATCTTGTGGGTTATTGGCAATAACCTGTACCGCTGCAATAACTTGCGTAAATCAAACAGTCGGACCTGATTTTCAAGCTTGATTGAACGACGACGGAGGAGAGTATGTTCAAAATCTTGCTGCATTGTATTATGAATGCTTGGTAAATGCAGGTTTTGCAGTAAGAGCTATAACTTCATTATTTTAGGATCTCAACTGTCAAAAGCTATAAACAGGAAAATGATTCAATCCTCCGGAATAAATGGGAAATGAAACGTCGAAGGAAAGGGTTTATACAATGTGAATTGGATTATTCATCGTCGTCATCATCTGAATCTGGTTCTAAATTAGATCTAAGAAGATTACGGTACTTTTCAGGCGTATCATATGCAGTTGGCGTAGTGAGAATGGCCTTCTCCAACCAGAACTTATCATATTCCTTCTTCTCAGTCAACGTGCGGAAGAAACTTCCCCACTTTTGCATTGCACGCGTCAAACGGATACTCTTGGACCCTGAAAACACAAACTTGATGTAGTCCTTTGCTAGCCGAGTAATCTCCTCACCGCTAATGATGTAAACATACTGCAAGAAAACCATTTGAGTTTGAAATGTAAATACATATTGGGCAAAAGAATTATCTTAGCTCTTGTTGCAAATATTAGAACTAATAGGCTTTGCACAGAAGCACTCCAGTCAGAAAAATAAAACAGCGTGACAAGGATTATTTTTGAACGCTGAAGACACCAATGCTCTAAATCCAACCCTATCCCACAAGTGATCCACCTCCTCACCCGCTAGCTCCTGCAAAAAAATCATCATATTCCTTTCCATCCACAACACCAAAAAACTTTCCATACAGCATATCATCCCTGCTCCATACCCTTCTTTCTCCCTCCGAAGAACATCTACCTCTCACACAATAAGGACTTGCATGAAAGGGAATATCCAAGCTCATTAGACTCCTAAATGATCTCTGCCATAAGGACAGAGCAATGACCAATAAAGCAGCAAACGATTACACATACACCTATGGAATCAAAGACGCCAAGATGACCATCTCTTCTAAACCGTATCACAAGTATTCATACTCCAACAACAACAACAACAAAGCCTTTTCCCACTAAGTGGGGTCGGCTCAAGATTAGTATCTTAAAAGGTACTAAAAACTTCCAAATGCATGAGAGGGAACCAGTAAAACATTTTATAAACAAGCCAACAACAAATTTATGAAAACACTCAACAATTCTGTTAACAGTCAGAGGACTAGACTAAAACACAACGTTGCATTGAAAGCAGTATCAAAATGAGACAATTTGTATGAGTGACAAAAAAAGGTTACAGAAGCTGTTTCCCCCACCTAACACTCTTCCTAAAGCTTCATTGTTTTCGCATTTCCCACCCTAAATCAACAAAAAAGAGGCGAAAGTGTAAAGGCCTTGAGAAATGTCTTTCCAAGGGAACAACTTGAACCTCTTTAACTAAATCATGTTATTCAAACCATCACGTTGAAGAAATTAAAGCACAAATTGTAATTGTTTTACTCGAATATTCAAACCATCATTGCTTCTTGAAAATCCTAAATAACCAAAAAGGTCGTACCCAGTGCACAAGGCTCCCGCATTACGCAGGGTCTGGGAGAGGTGAATGTCGGCTAGCCTTACCCCCATTTTATGAAAATCCTAAATCACCCTTTGCTAAAAAATCAGTTAGAAGAATATAATTTAGATCAAGAAACAGCAAGAGTGCAGGATTATTACCAGAAAAATAAAACCAACAGTTGCGAGAATCACTTGCAGTGTTTCATCCATGATTCCAGAAAAGCCTTCATCCTCTGATCCACCAGAGCCACCTAAACCATCACCACCACCGCTGCCGCCACCGCCACCTCTGCCCCCGCCCTTCTCTTCAAAGAATTCGTTCTTTTCAATCTGCTGACGTAGCACATCCTCTATTGACCCTTCCTTTTTGAAATTACCCATTGCTTTCTCAAGAGCCTTCCAGGAGGAACCCTGTTTGCATTAAGAAGTGTGCAGTACTGCTGTGAGAATATAGTGTCACTGGGGTGCATTTGCATGCTACAACTTGCAGAAGTTAAAACATGCCTTCTCTTTTATAATTAGGGCCCATATTTTCGTATATATGCCATAAAATAAATAACAATTCATCCCCCACGCCCACACACCAGTTACTCTATAAACTTGAGTTTATTTAGCAAAAAACGAAAAAAATCATGATAAATTCAGTAAAAATGCATATAAAGCACAATCTCAATCCCAAGGAAGAAACATTACAATGATGACCAAGAAGTATGAGAGGAAAATGTAAGATTTTTCTTTTTACTCATACCCCTAAATGAGCAAGGAGCAGACAAAAACTTGTGTGTCTGTGTCTGACCTAGTCAAGTATATATGTATGTTTACTTGAAGACTCAAAGGCGGTTGAATATAGAGAAACAATCAAGATTCATGCATCAAACTACTTGCAAATTTGAAGAATAAATGCCATCAATGCTCACTGAACTTAGAGTGTGTACCATCCGTCTTTGAACTTCAAAAGATCACGTTTATGATTTAATCCCATGAAGTAACTTAAGATCTACATGGCTAATCATGCACAAAACTACTTGCATTCAATGAGGCACCTGAAAGGCACAAAATTGACCCCAATCAGAAGAACACATTAATCTCTACAAGAAAGCACCGGAATCTCAAAAATTTAGGTGGGGCAGATCAGATGGTTCCTAGGGGACATTTGAACCAATATAAATATGGAAAGGCAGAAACTTTGAAGACAGTTAGTTAATCGCATGAAATTACCATTACATTTAAAGGAACACAGTCCAAGCATAAAGGTCTGTTACCTCATCACCACTTTCATTCTTTCCCTTGCCACCCAATAAGCAGACAGGTGCAGATCGGCAGTACTTCGATACGACCCCGCATTGCCGTTTCTTCAATACAGCCACGCATTGTTGCTGAATTCGACCATGAAGTTTTGGTTTCAATGAAGTTCCAAGGAGACATTTAGCACGGTTTGGAAGAAAATACGGGTTAGAAGAGAGACGGAGAGATTGAGATGAGTTCCTGAAATAGTTGCTAGGTTGACAGGATGTTATCTGAACGGTGTTCATCCTCGGAAAATAACCTCCGGGTGCCTTGTAACTCTCACATGAAGCTTCAAACACCTAAACTAACATTCTTCAAGTTTCATTGAACAATTAGCTTATATGAATTTATCGAAAAATTCGAAAACTAATTTAAGAACCGGATAGTATACCATGCCCAATTATATAATAACCAGAAACAATGCAACAAGACCAAGTAAAATTCAAAATATCCACTGCATTGTCCAATGCCCATTCTATCAACACAACCAAATATATGAGAAATAAATCCCAAATTATGAAAGAAAACCACAAAGGGTCCTAAAAATTCAGGGAAAGAAAAAGGTGGGTTTTATGGGTTCTGAAAATCCAAGCAAAAAAAATGGAAACACATGAATTCACCAAAAAGCAAGAAAATTTATTGAAAATTTTGAAGACTTTCAAATTACATTAAAAAACAGGAAAAAATCAGAGAGCAAAATTTATGACATTAATCGCTATGAACACAAAAAGCTGAGAGGAAGATATCGTACCTTGCTGCGTAGAGTTGTAAATTGTGGTAAGAGGAGGAACACAAAGGAGGAGAGGTCACTGCCTCCTTCCTTCTCAACCCTTCTTCTTCTGATGATGAAGCTTTTCGGGTCGCGGTTTGGATAATACGCGGGTTTAAGGGTTTTAGGATCTACGGTCGGTTGCGATGTAATTTCCACAGTCCGGCCCATTTAAAAGAATAAAAATATGGAAAAATTAACGAAAAGTTCAAAAAAAAATTAGTTTTAATTAAAAATGATAAATAAATGTGTAGTAAATAGTACCAGAAAAAGTTTAAAATGTAGTTTTTTGTTAAAAGTGAATAATAACATGAGTATTTCGTTAAAACTCTCTAAAAATATTTCTCTACCATTTCACAATTTTATTTATTTATTTATATTTAAATATAGGACATATCTCAAATTGATAACATACTAATCTTCTTTTTATGCAGCTCTGGTATCACATGAGACGGCAACGAATTTTTAGACCCGAGTCAAATGGTATGTAAAACCTGAGTCAATGGCCCTAAGAAATACAATGAAAGAGGACATTTGTGCGTTCTATTCTAAAAATGATAGTAACGCTCACCGCTTAAAAAAACAGTACACGCATTCCGGGCTACTAAGTAATAGTTTATGAGGGCCAAATAAAATTTGAAAGCCTAAAAGGAAAAGCCCAAATGTTTGCCACCCCACCCCCAGGCATGTAAGCTCAGTGCTCTCCTAAGACCCTCTCTGTATCTGTACGACTGTTCAACTGTGGGTTTGCTGGGTTTAGGTGTTTGGATTGGAATTGGTAGTCTCTTCCCAGCAGCAATAGCAGGTGAATTTCTGTTGTTCTATTTTCTTATTTTGTTTTCGTTAATGGAATATATATGTGTATATATATATCGATGTATAAACGCTATATATATGTATCGATGTATAAACCCTAGATGTTGAAGATGAATTAGGCGCCTTTTGGTTGCAGAAAAATGATGATAAAGTGGCGCTTTCGGGTTCTTAGCGTTTGGTTGATTTGTCAGTAGTTTTGGTGTTTTGTTTTTGATAGATTGAGCTAAATTAGAGGACAAGAACAATGTAGAGAGTAGCATCACATTCAGAAAGGAGATTTATTTAAGATTTGGGATTTATCCTTTTGGTTTTTATTCATTTGGGACAATTATATTTGTTTTCTTTATTACAAGCGATTTTACCACTCTAAGCTACACTAAGGGGCCGTGGGGTTTGGGGGTGGGGGAGTATTTGAATCAGCGCCACACTGGGTTGAAGAGGAAGATCCTAACTACCAAGGCAATCCATTGCTAGAAAATTATATTATTTAAGAAGGATTCTTCCATTGGCGTAAAAAGCCAAGATTGTTTGTATAAATCTAACCTGTAAACCACTTGTTCGAAACTTTCATCAACAGGGTAATCTCTCTTTGACATATACATCTATCAGCTTGCTATGGCAACTGCGGAACCTGCCCCGCTTTTGGATATCTTAGGTACTGAAATCATATGTTTCATTTAGTACTAGGTAGCTATCTGTGTCCTGTATGTCTTATTTTTCTTTCACCTCTATCCCAGTTCGAGGACCAGAAGGATTCTCACTCTGGAATGGGCCACCGTTTAGCAATGGGCAACCCGGTGTCAAGCTTGAAAACGTTTCCTGCTCGAGTACCAAATTCAGTGAAGATGGATCGACGCTCATGGTGATAAAATCTGATTCAGTGATTAGTATATATGACTGTACCAGCTACAGGGAGATCAGATCTTTCCAAATCCCAAATGTTCTTGCAGCTGCCTTGTCCCCACGTGGAACGTATCTTCAAACATTCCAAAAATTCTCAACACCGCAGGAGAAGAATGTCACCTTATGGAGGACGGACACTGGTGATTCCGTTTATCATCAACACCAAAAGAACATGACAAAAGCTACATGGTGTGGTGCTCATTGTTTTACATTGTCTAATAATTCATGTTATAGTATTAGATATATATGTCTTTTTGCTGTCATGTGAAATGTGTGTTAATTGTAAAATTCTATGCTCTTCAGGCCCTCAATTAAATTCAGCTTTGATGAAGCTGTTGCTTGTCGACTGGCGACAAATGAGATACAATTTTTTGATGTTGGGGATTTCTCTAAAGCATTTATAAATCGGCTAAGAGTTCCTGGAGTGGCTGCTCTTGAGCTTTCTAAGGCACCCGGCTCCCATGTGGCAGCTTTTGTTCCAGAATCCAAGGTAGAAGCTCATGCCCTTTGGTCGATAACTTCATTGTAGAGACTACTTTCAATTCAGAGTATTTAACTTTTTAGCATATCAAACATGGAAGGATGCAGTATCAAGAAACTGTGAAATTATGCAGTGTCTTCGATTTGTGACATTTGTCACATCAATGGACGCAATATCATTCATTTAGCAGCAGATATAGTCGCAATATCATTCACTTTTTGGTTCAGCTTTTAAGTTCAGCTTTCTTTATGTAGGGGATTCCTGCCAGTATCCAGATATTTGCTTGTGGAAAAGATCCACAGAGTCAACCTGTTGCTCGACGGAGTTTCTTCCGATGTTCAACAGTACAACTGAACTGGAACAATGGCTCAACTGGGCTTTTAGTTTTGGTGCAGTCAGATGTTGATAAAACCAATCAGAGTTACTATGGGGAATCAAAGCTCAATTACTTAACAACAGATGGGAGCCATGAAGGACTTGTACCTCTTCGTATGTTCCAACTTCAACAGTAAATTAAAATTAGTATTTAACTGCCTGCAGCCTAATTATCCTTAAATATTTGGCAGGTAAAGAAGGGCCTGTTCATGATGTTCAGTGGTCACATTCTGGATCAGAATTTGCCGTAGTTTATGGCTGTATCCTTTTATTTCCCTTTTAGTTGTCTCGAAGAGACAACTTAACAGGAAATTTATTGAAGAGTCAAAATGTTTAATACATATTGTTTGTGACGAAACTAAGCACGCTATTGAGTGTATAATGTCTATCAAAATTTTTAGCATATATTTATTCATAGGCATCTGCATGGGCACTCTAGTGATCAGAATATTGAGGTGAATTTCACTCTAGGGTTTAAATTATTCTTGATGGATCAACATTATCTGGACATGTTAGCAGATATTTTGAGTAGGGGCTCTACTTCTGCATCCCGTTTTCTGAAAAACATTTCATTCAACCTATACTGGTTATTTAGAATTATTTTAACAGCAAGAAGTTTTAGTGCCATATTTCCTTTTGTTCGGGTTTGAATGCTAATTTCTATGTGCATCTTTATTGTAATTTTGTTTATTATTTTCAGCTTACCAGTACTGTAATCTTTTTTTAAATGCTCAGAGTTTGTTTGTTCCTTCAACGGTATTAGTCATGCCTGCAAAAGCTACCGTGTTTGACAAGAAGTGCAATCCTCTTCTTGAGCTTGGAACAGGCCCATACAATACTATCCGATGGAATCCAAAGGGAAAATGTATCCTTGACAATTGTGACTTACTTCTTGAGAACATTAGTAATATGCTAGTTTTGAGTAAGTTCAGTAACTTGTAGACACATGGAAAACAACTAGCAAATGAAAGGGTGGAAAAGGTGACCAAGAACCTGGGAGCATGTCATAACTTAAGAGAATATAATAAGTAATGCGGTATAACGTAAGATAATTATATTTCTTTCTCAGAGGAGACAAAACTGAGAGTCTATATTTGTGGCCTTAATTATCTGGTTTGCAGTTCTGTGTTTGGCAGGCTTTGGTAACTTACCTGGTGATATGGTATGTTATTGATTTAGTACTGTTTGCTGTTTTGAACTTTTGAGATAGCAGTCCTCACCATATTTACATTTTATGCAAGAAATTCATCATATATTTTTACTGGTTTTCACCTTTTTCTGGCCTGCCAAAGATGATAAAGACATCATATGTTCATTATGATTTCTCAAGTCGATTTGTCTTTTGTTTACCGTACAGGCATTTTGGGACTATATAGATAAAAAACAGCTTGGGGCAACTAGAGCCGAACTGTCTGTGACAAGCGAATGGTCTCCAGATGGACGTTATTTCATGACTGCAACAACAGCTCCCAGACTACAAGTTGACAATGGGTAAGTTTACTGTTACGTGGATTTTTGGGGTTTGAAAGAGGGCCAAGTATACAGTACTGCATTTCATTGAACTGCACTAAAACAGTTGTACCATTTGCCTATCTAGAATTTTGCTAGTGTTTTAACAGATTATCAATTTCCAAGTTGTGATTATCATACCATAGTAACCATACTCTTCTATCTATGGGCACAAAATTTGTTCATCTTTATGTTATAGACTACCATCAGCTTCCCGACCCAAAAAAGAAGTCTATTCTAACATTTGTATCAATTTGAAATGTTTCATTTGAGAAAGTGGCTACGGCAGACTGAGAATATTTACTCATCTATTGCATATTATGTTGGTGGTGTGCGCACATTCTTTCATGCCTGTTCGATTGCATACTTAGTCTGCTGTTTCTACTTCAAAGAATCTTATTTACCAGTTAACCATTTCATATTCTTTTTCTCTGCATTGAAGGATTAAGATTTTCCACTACAACGGATCATTATTCTTCAAGAAGATGTTTGACAAGTTGTACCAGGTGAGTTTTGCACCCCACTGGGGATGAATTTTCCTACTTGGTCTATAAACTTGGTATCCTCAAGGAGGATCTAGCCTCCATTGGGGGTACTCTTAAAATACAACTCTGTTATTTTGCTCACACCTGACTGACCTTTTCTTTTCTTTCATGGCGCCAACTATTTGTTCAGGTTGATTGGAAACCGGAGTCACCAGACAGATTCGGTGACATTGCTGAACTTGTCAAGTCTATTGAGTCATTAAAAGTAGTAGAAACGAAACCTCAAGGTTGCTCTCGTGTAGAATTTTCAAACTTAGTTGATTGTGGAGTTGAATTTTTACCTGTAAGTTTTGTGGTTCACTGAAAAACTTGGATAAATTTTTTCAGGAGAAACGTCAAAAAATTCTCAAACTTCTGTAAAAGCTAGCACTAGCAACCCTCCTGCACAAAAGCCAGCTGCATATCGGCCCCCACACGCTAAGGCTGCCGCTGCTGTTCAGGCTCAGGTATACATGATTTGTATTGGTTTCTATCTGTCTAAATTTGTTTCAATCTGTATTGGTTTATTAATTTTTGTCATCATGAACCATTTGCTTGATGTG